TTGAGAGGACTGACTTCAATTTTAAAGGACGTTCTACTGTACGTAAAATGCTAGCAAAGGTCATCATACACTATAGAGAAATCTTTTGTGAAGAAGAGTCAATCAATGTGGCAAACTTTACTGTTGTCTTATTTTCAGAAACTGCCACAGCCACACCAACCTTCAGCAACCACCACCCTGGTCAGGAGTTGTCAATATCAAAGCAAGATTCTCCACAACTGGTGCTGAAGGCTCAGCTGATCGTTAGCACTTTGTAGCAATAAAGTATTTTTAAACAAAGGCATGCACATTTTTTAGATATAATGCTATTGCACACTTAAAAGACTACATGATAGTGTAAACATAACTTCTGTATACACTGGGAAACCAAAAAATTCATGTGACTCACTTTATTGTGGTGGCCTGGAACCAAACCTGCAACACCTCAAAGGTATGTCTGCACAGGTTGCAAATCTGCACAGCATGTTATTACTGAATACTGTAGGCAATTGTAATAAGTATGTGTGTATCTAAACATATCTAAAAATAGAAAAGGTACACTAAAAACATGGTATAAAAGATAAAAAACAGTATACCCTTACCATGAGTGGGGCTTACAGAAGTAGAAGTTGCTGGGTGAGTCAGTGAGAGAGTAGTGAGTGAATGCGAAGGCCTAGAACATTACTATACACTACTGTAGACTTTATAAATATTGTACACTTAGGCTACCCTAAGTTTATTTAAAAATTTTTCTTTTTTCAATAATAAATTAACCTTAGTTTACTGTAACTTTATTTTAAAAACTTTTTAACTTTTAGGCTGTTTTGTAACAACACAGCTTAAAACACACTGTGCAACGATACAAAAATATTTTCTTTCTTTATATCCTTATTCTATAAGATTTTTTCTAATTTTTTTTCCTACTTTTAAACCTTTTTGTTAAAAAACAAAGGCACAAACATACACATCGGCCTAGGCCTACACAGTACTGGGATCATCACTATCACTGTCTTCCACCTCCACATCTTGTCCCACTGGAAGATCTTTGGGGACAATATAATGCATGGAGCTGTCATTTCATATAACAATGTCTCCTTCTGGAATACCTCCTGAAGGACCTACCTGAGGCCATTTTATAGTTAGCTTGCTTAAGCATAAGGAGTACACTCACAAATAATGATAAAAAGTATAGTACAGCAAAAACCAAGTGACAGGAATTTTTCAGCTCTATCATCATGAGACCACCATCATGTATGTGGTCCGTCATTAACTAAAACATCATTATGCAGCACATTACTGTATATGTATAATTTAAGGTGTTTTTAACATTTAACTACACAGAAAAGTTCTAGAATTATTTCATAACTATTAAAAAGAAGAGGGTTATTTTCTTGCGACTCCTAGAGTACAAAGATACTTTTAGGGAAGGAAACAAATAGCTAAAAAATACAAGTTGTATTGATAAATCTACCTAGCATAAATTTAAGTTAACCCTCATAGTAATATGCTTGCATTAAAATAAAGATTCTTTCATAAGCTTAATCTGTTTATATATTTAACTTTCTCAGCTTCATTTCTTCAACTGAATAGTAAATACTCTGCCCTCTATCAGTTATGTTGTTTAAGTCAATAAGAATTTAGTAATAATCAGTAATTCTATACTATAATATAGTCTTCACAGACAATGTTTACAGCCTTTTATCCCTTTCATATCACAACTGAACTGAAATATACCAATTTTTAAAATATTTAAAATGTTATAAATTTTGAAAAGAAAATATGAAAATGACTAAAAAGCACAGTATACTGAACAAACTTATTCCATTCCAAAATTGCTTTATTTTAAAAATAAACCCTATTTTGTATTAGAGAAGCTCCAATTTAAAAGAACCCTGTGGTTTCCTTTGTAAAGTAACAAAGTTTTTTGTTGTTGTTGTTACTTAAAATGGTAAGTCATTCTTAAACTTATTTATACAAGCTGAAATTTTGCCGTAACTGTTGTCCTTAAAGGTATATCTGTATAGGAACAATCAGATGTATACAAATAAAATGTAATAAGCAACAGAAATTAGGTAAAATGTTAGTGAATACTACCATGATTTTGCCTTCCCCCAAGAAACAGTATAATGGAAAAATTGTTAGTACCACTTGGATCAATCATGTAACATTTCTAAAACAGTTCCTTCATTAGTGAAAAAGGGATAATACCTTGCAAGTGTATTTGTTCAGGATTTTTAAAATTGTGTATAAAATGTACAGTATGCTGACATATAATGGATACTAAATAAACAATGGTTATGGTTATTATATATATATATTTTTTTGAGACGGCATCTCACTCTGTTGCTGAGGATGGAGTACAGTGGCACAATCTCCGCTCACTGCAATCTCCGCCTCCCAGGTTCAAGCAATTCTCTTCCTCATCCTCCCAAGTAGCTGGGATTACAGGCACCTGCCACCATGCCTGGCTAATTTTGGTATTTTTAGTAGCGATGCGGTTTCACCATCTTGGCCAGGCTGGTCTTGAACTCCTGACCTCGTGATCCACCCACCTCGGCCTCCCAAAGTGCTGGGATTACAGACATGAGCCACCGTGCCCGGCTGGTTATTATTAATAGCAAATAAGCTGATTTGTTTGTTCTATCAGACGGACCATTAAAAATGTGTTCTGCTGACCAGCTTACAGGTTTCATATAAAACAAAAAATCTTGTGTGAGAAGAGGTAGTTAAGTCCCTACCCATGTAAACAAAAATCTTATAGTAAAGGCAAATTCAATATTTATGATGGCAATGTAACTATATGTGAATGCAAATCAGGAGATTCCTAATCCGGTAGGTCTTGCTATTAGTATTTTTTAAGATCTTGGGGCTAAATCTATTTCCCCATTGCAGGTATAGAAATAAGCTTATAAGCAAAACAGATGGAGAGTATAGGGCCAGAGGTAGTGGATATGAACAGAAGTCAGGACTCTGTCATGGAAGAAAGCTAGATAATAAGAAAAACAGAACACAGAAGTGAAAATGGGGCCGTTAGTAAGAACCTGAGTATTATAAAAGCGTTACCTCTGACCCCAACCACAGTACACTGATATTTTGCCAGTGTCCTATATTAGTAAAAAGAGCTTCATGTAGCATAGGGTTTTAAGTGAGACTGCTGCAGAAGCGTTTTTCAATACACAATATTATTTTAGGGATAAGTTTATTAGATCCTTTGCTAAAGAACGTATGCAGCTCTTTCTACACTGACATCTGGGTCTTAAAGCAAGATGAGGTTGGGTCAATAAAATGAAATATGACCTTTCAGTACGAACAAGAGAGTCAATACTTCATGGAGAGATAAAAACATTCAAAATGAAGGCCAACAGGCTGGGTGTAGTGGTTCATGCCTATAATCCCAGAACTTTGGGAGGCTAAGGTAGAAGGCTCACTTGAGGCCAGGAATTTGAGACCAAACTGGACATCACAGCAAGACCGTCTCTACAAAAAAAAAAAAAAAAAAAAAAGAATATATAAAAAGATTTCAAAGAATAAGGTCAAAAAGTTCAAGTTACGGCGCCTGTAGTCCCAGCTACTTGGGAGGCTGAGGCAGGAGAATGGCCTGAATCTGGGAGGCGGAGCTTGCAGTGAGCTGAGATGTGGCCATTGCACTCCAGCCTGGGCGACAGAGCAAGACTCCGTCTAAAAAAAAAAAAAAAAAAAAAGAGTTCAAGTTACTTCTATTTCTGTACTTTCTTTCATTTTTCATAATGTTTAAGAGAGCAGAAAGACTGGTGCTTCACTATACTGGAAATTCATTATAATAATTCTTCATAATAGCAGAAACTAGTTTTTTGAAAGAAGGAAGATAAGATAGCAAGATTCTAAAAGGCTCTTGTTATACAGTCTCTTCTAGTAGATGACCTTCCACAGAATGTGAGATCTCCACTACAGCAAGGCTGTATTAAAATGAACCTTTATTATCCAGCACCTTGCATGTGTGCATTACAATAATAACTTATGTTCAAAACCAAGAACATTGGTCCTTCTCAATTATCAGATATTAAACTGTATTAGTTGATGTTCCATGTCAAGTAAATTTGTTATATTTTGTGTAACACAATAAGTACGTTTTTTGAAAATTAATCGTCTAAGCTGATTATATTTCTCTTTGTAATATGACCGTTTAGTAAGTTTAGAAGACAGCTCTTCTTATAAGTATATGAAACCAATATGTAAAAATTATGTGGTTTCAGAAGAGCAGTCAAACATTCTAAACAAGTAGCTTAAATATTATTTCCAAATAAATGCAGGAAACAGGATGACTATGGAGGAAAACACTAATGATATAAAACAAAGAAACAGAGAATTCTGGAGAAAGAACACAAAAACTGAAAAAGAAACACAAAGATTCTTATAGATGATGAATACATACATAACCTAGGTGTCTCTAAACTCAAACTAAGTACATATTAAATCTTTTCTAGTAGCCACACTTCATTTCTTGAACGTTTCCAATTAATGTCAGCAGGATTCATAGTATTATGCAGACAAGAATAGTGTACTAATATTACCTGTTTTGGTGTATTACTTGGCAAGATCAAATTAAAGATAAAAAGATTATCCAATTGTTCAACTTCTCTTCCCCCTGCTTTTCAAAGTATAAATATACTGGGCTAAAAAATTTCTGAGTTACTAACTAAAGAAATCCTGTGAAGCTATATTTTAAGATAGTAGGAAGAAAACTGGAATAAGGCCAAATGGGCAACTGAGTATATTTAATCTCCATTAGTGATAATCTTGAGCATCATGCAAAACAAATTCCACCATTAACACAACTGACCAGACTGTCTGCCGATAACAAAATAACAAGTATGAGAGTTTTCTGAAACAGAATATGAAACATTTTAAATGTTCTCTTGGTATATATAGAAAATGTTATGTACTTAACCTTACTACTTTTATAGTCACATTAATACTACTTATAATAGTTCTACATACATTTGACATAAAATGTATTATAATAATTTATAAGAAACACTTACTGGGTAAATTTTTTGGAGGGATGGAAGGATGGGTTCAGGTAGGGCTATAAAAAGAAAAAGTTTAAAGCTTCCGTGATTCACGTGATTCATTTTACAATGCAATAATTTGTCAGCTACATCCCAGGTATGAGACTATAAGGGTTTATGCTAAAATTCAACAGTTTTCAAGTATTTCATGAAATTCTTATCCCTAAGTTTGTATTTAAAATATATTTAAGTTGACAAACTAAGGTTTTATTAATAAACTATATATATCCCTATGTAAACCAATGTTCCTCACATGGTTTTAGAATAGGCTATCAATAAAGGGACACATGTAATTTGTCCAACATCAGACATACACACACAATAAGCAAGACAAGGATTGCTCTACAGATACTGAATAGACATTATTAAGATGGATGTAGTAATCAAAAACCATAATTTTAAAAATACAGTTCAGTGACACTAGGAGAGAAAACTAGTTCTTTCATAATTGCCCCTTTATCATTTAATTTCCACTGACAATACCAAAATTGAAATCGTTCAGGAAACTGATATACTGCAAATAACAACAACAAAAAAAAGCAAATAAAACTGAAAGAAAATCTTTAACCTCATTAGTCCATTTTTAAAGAATGTTCAGCAAAAGTTAGAAAACTAAGGGCAACAATCTGCTATAAATAAAATTTCACACAAAGAAATCATTATCCTGTTATCACCATATTTTTGTCATCCTTCACCATTCAATAGTTCTAAACAAATCCAATCTCATTAAATGCACTAACAGTAACTTTACATTGTTTTAATATGAAAAGAACAATATAAAAAGGCAAAGTGCCTAACATTCACAATATAAGAAATAACTGTAAAATATAATGTCATGAGTATGGTAAAATACAAATACTACATTTTCAAATTTAAGAATTAGGAAGTATTTAAGAATTAGGAATACACTACATATAACAACTACATAAACTCAACAACAAAGCATATTAATTCACTTTTAATGTGTGATTTAGCAAAAACTTTAAAAAATGACTTCTGAAATATATAAACGTACATGTAATGAACCATGATGACCAACTTACATATAATTAAAAGGGTATAATTAAAAGGGTATAAGTTTTTACCACATAGTACAAAGTAGGATGCTTTATTTAAATTTCCCTTATGTATCACATTTCACCCCATGTTGAAAATAGGCATAAAATTAAATTCCATGATACGTCTTTATGTTCTCAGTAGATGACTGAGAATATTAGTAGAAAAAACTCAATCATTACTTACCAGAATCACTCTTAGGAAGTAAGAATATATATATTCCTTTCCCCTAAGAGGCATTCAAATACTCAACATGCTAAAAGACCTGTCAAGTAAACTCAAACCCCACTCACTTTAATTCTAAATGTCTCTATATTTGTATAACACTTTTTAATGGCTTTCTAGTAATTTTGGTTATAATACAGAAGTCAAATTGGAAAATCTTATTAGAAATTAGTTTACTTAAAAACTTGAATACCTTTCCCATTGAATACTCTAGTATACTAAAAGTATAATAAAACAAAGGATGAAGAAAAGATTATAGAGAATTAGAATAAAAAACCTTTATCTCATTCTGGTAACATAACTAGAATACTAGGAGAGAAAAACAAATACTAGCCACTGGTTGAGGATCTTTCAATGGACAAAAGAGCTTTTAGAACTCAGCAATTTGGAAGTTTCTGGAGGCAGGGTTATCATTAAGTAAATTCTTTATGTTACAACCTTAAAAGATTTATAAACACTAGTCATCAGAGAAGCAATTAGTGTACTGCAGAAGTTATTTATTAACAATATCCTGATATTAGTCTCAATGAGTTTAGTAGTTTTAAAAATGTTTATCTTACTCCAAAGCAACGTAAATTCTGGAAAAATCTGACTATAACATCTATTTTAACTTCAGAATTTTGGATTACAGGTTCAGTCTTTTAAATTTCTCTCTCAAAGGCAAACTAAAAACGAAACAAAAGCTCAATATTAGAGCACATGATTAACAGGCAATGCCTTGAATACAGCTAATGTACAAAATTTTACTTTACCCAAAGTTTGCATAACAGCTTGCTGGTAGGGACCCCACAAATTTATACCCATAAACTTTCCATATAGATGTACCAAAAATTTAAATTTTAAATAGCAGATCTTCGATCATACTAAGAATCATTAATTTTGAAAATACAAGGACAACTTTACTTATTCATTAATTTTTTTTGAGACAGGGTCTCGCTCTGTCACCCAGGCTGGAGTGCAGTGGCACGATTTCGACTCACGGCAGCCTCTACCTCCCGAATTCAAGCGATTCTCATGCCTCAGCCACCCCACTAGCTGGCATTACAAGTGTGCACCACCACATCCAGCTAATTTTTTAGTAGAGATACAGCTTCGCCACATTGGCCAGGCTCTGCAAGGACAATTTTTAAATGTCTACCAGAAAGCTCTGTGCCTAGGAATATGGCAAACATTCCATGAATATTCTTTAATGTTATTATTTCTAGCCAACTGATGATCTTACCTTTTTCATTACTTTTTTTTTTGAGACAGAGTTTCGCTCCTGTTGCCCAGGATGGAGTATATTGGTGCGATCTAGGCTCACTGCAACCTCCGCCTCCCAGATTCAAGTGATTCTACGGCCTCGGCCTCCCAAGTAGCTGGGATTACAGCCGTGCGCCACCACGCCCAGCTAATTTTGTATTTTCAGTAGAGACAGGGTTTCACCATGTTGGTCAGGCTGGTCTCAAATTCCTGACCTCAACTGATCCACCCGCCTCAGCCTCCCAAAGTGTTGGGATTACAAAGTGTTGGGATTACAGGCGTGAGTCACCATGCCTGGCCTCCTTTTTCATTAACTCTTAAGTTATAATTAAAATCTCTTCTCAATTCCCCCTCATGCTTTGATCAGTCATCTTTCAAGTATCTATAGTCAATTACTGACGATTGGAATTTATTCTAGGAAATGTGTTAATCTTTTTAACCTTTCTACATACACAGGATCTATTTCCTTTCTCTGTTTATGGCAGAAAAGATATTGCAGGATTTAAGAAGTTCAACAAAACATGAAGGTCATTTAATCCAACTGTTTGTGTTACAGGTGAGATTAAGGCCAGTGAGGTACAATAACTTGACCAAAGTCACAAAAACTAGTTTTTTGTGGCAGAGCCGGAACTCCTCAATACACCTTGCAGACTCTTGTTTGCCCTTTTCCCTCACAGTAATGTGATACTGCCAAGAAAAGCAACTATCTATTTTAATCACTCTCATTTCTTCTAGGGAGGAGTAGCTTAAATTTGCCAGTGTAGAATTACACATTAGCTCTGGGTAGCTGATGTCCTTCAAGAAAGACCTAGGAATGGCTGAATGCAGTGCTATTAATTACAAACCACTTCAGTAAATGGGTCCACTCTGTCAAAAATAAAATGTTAGGCAAAGTCTAAACTAAATTTTAGTATGATTTTAATAGGCTGGCAAAATAGCAATGTTTAATTTTTTTGTTTTGTTAAGAAAGAGTCACTCTGCTGACCAGACTGAAATGCAGTGGCATAATCACAGCTCACTGCAACCTCAAACTCCTGGGCTCAAACAATCCTCCCACCTTAGCCTCCTGAGTAGCTAGGACTAACGATATGTGCCACCATGCCCAACTAATTTTTTTTATTTTTTATTTCTGTAGATGGGGGAGTCTCACTATGTTGCTCAGGCTGGTCTCAAACTCCTGGTCTCAAGCAATCCTCCCGCCTCAGCCTCCCAAAGCACTTGGAATTACAGGCATGAGCCAGTAAGCCTGGTCCCAGTTTAAAATTTTTAATTTGCTTTCAATACCACATTGGGGCATGTGTGATTAACGTACATTTATCTAAAGTCAATCACATTTAAAATTTCTAAGGTAACCAGTAAGAATTAAGGAGTAGGGCACATATTATGGATGATCATGTATGCTAAATGCTTTAGTCAAATCTCATTTTTAAATCACAACTAAAATATAAAGTGAATGGTGGTGAGTGCTACATATCTTTTATATTTTATATATATAAGAAATCCTATTCCATTTTTAATGAAAGTAAACTGTAATCCACAAGAGAAGAGAGTTCACTGAAAAAAAATGTTTAGAGTTCACCTGAACATATATTATAAAGTAATATATATATAGACATGTATTTTGTAAAACTGGACAAAAATGATTAACGACACATAAAGTAGTATCTAAAATAGCCAATGTCGTATGTTTCAAATTCTTTTAGAGGGGCAAATGAATTATCAAACCAGCACATATTCAAGACTGGTCAGCAATAAAAATACATGTATTAAGATTAGCCTGAAATATTTTAACATTAAAGAAGATTATCAAACCTCTCTGATGACTGATTCATAAAAATGTTGGCCCATTTAAACTATTTTGTCTCTCTTGGTAAGTAAAAAAAAACATCAAACATCTGAGACCAGCATCCAAAGGAAAATATACTCTCATATATTACAAAACATCTGCAAGTATGGTGAAGTACAGAGAACTTTGCTAAACTGTCCATAAATAACCTCTGATATAATTTTGGCACCTACCTTTTCAGTATTTGCACATATACAAATATATACACATTTATTATTTTTAAATAAAATTGGTATTGATATATGAGACAATATATCATGAACATTTTCTTGTATCATTAAATATACTAAAAACACGATCGTTAGTGGCTATGCAGATCTCATATTAGGGTATATCGTAATTAATTTAACCATTCCCCTATTCTAGAAAATGTAAGAGTACTTCTAATCTTTTATTATTTACATAACACCATAAAAAAATAGCCTTACAGGTACATCCATATATGCACCACTCATTATTACATTAGGATAAATTTCTAGAAATGAAATAACTGAGTCAAAGGACATTATATAAATATACAACACTGCTTTCTAAAGGGGTTGTACCAAATCAACACTCTAAGCACGATTGTGTATTCCATTTTGTCATTTTTAAAAACTGCCAATTTAAGAATATTAACCCCTACATCTGCAATACATGTTCAAGTGAAATTTTGTAAGTAATAGGACAGAGTATAAGATTATATTCTGTCAAGAATGTAGAATGCCAAATTCACCCTAGGAGCATACCATAAAACTTTGATTACCAAGAAGGGACAAGGTTGACACACTATGAAATTAAGAACAATAACATAAACACTTCGGTCAAATAATGGCACCCTATCTCCAGACAAAGATGGGATGAAGATGTGTCTAAAGGTAGAATCAAGATTTTGAGAACTAGCTAGCTCTAAGACTACTCCAATTAAAAAATAAATATGAAAAAATGTTCCCCAAATTCTTCACCATAGAGGAAAGGTTTCTAAGCTGTGATAAACTAAAAAAATTAAAACGTGTGTGTATGTGCCAAAAGTGGGAGGCGTGTAACAATTACACTGTTTTGTGATGGTCTGTCCATTATTCTGAGATTATATTATTGCTTTTTTGGTATTTTATGCACCATCTTTTATGAAGTAATGGTAGTAATTGGTAGCAGTTTTTTGGTTCTGATACTTAACATAGCAAAATAAAAACTCCAGTTTGGTTCTTTTTTTGGACATTACTCTTCCTTGAAATCTAAAAGTCTGAGAATCATGTAATGAACAGGTAAAAGAAAATGTAAGAACATTATTTAAGAAGACCATGATTTTGTAGAGGAAAAAAGAACACACACCATTTACAGTTACTTATTTGTCGCCAACTTTTGGAATTAAAAGACCTGAACTTGACATTTACGCATTTAGGTTTGGCTAAACATTTTGAAACCTTTGCAAAGAAAACAAAAACCAGAAAAAAATAAAACAAATGTTAACAATAACAATCTTTGGGTGTGAAAATACATGGGCAATGTATTTTTTTTTTTGGTCCACTTTAGTATATTCTCAGGATTTTCTATGATATATATGTACAACTTATTCAAAATGAATTTTAAAATGTAAAATAACTATTTTAATATCACTATGTTTTAAGTATTATTTTAAACATAATAATTCTGAAACAAAATAGAGAATTCCTGACAACCAATCTTCCCTCTGAACTGCTCTTTTTTAAGGCACTGGTAGGACAATCTTCGTTTTTGTCCCAACCAGTTCTATCTATCCTCCTATTAGTAAAAGTGGCTCATCACATAGAAATTCTCAACTTAGGTATCATCCTCCAATCCCTATCCAAAGAAGCCCAGTCTACCAGGAACTGGGCTAACAAAATTGTAATTCCCAACTCTAACCATTTCTGATCTATATAACAAGGAAAGGGTGTCTTCTCCTTTTCCCAGTTCCCAGTATCCTCAATACAGAAACACAGCTGTAAAGGCATCAAATCATCTCAACCTTCCAAGACTAAGCTGCTGTTGACAAAACTGCTAATATTATCTGTTATCTCTCTCAGAATCTAAATACAAAAAGCATCAAACAATACAACAAAAGGATATTTTTCAATAGGCTTTTAAAAATGACTACACTATAATAATTCATTTGTTACTGAGCATATCACATGTTGACAGTGCTCTATCAGCAGCTCAACTCACAATGGTGGTAAAAATGTCACATTTTATTAGTAATCTGTGAGTTGCTTAATAATTCATATTTTGGTAGGTAACAGCTACAAAAATGTTACATTTTACAAGTCGAAAATGTAAGCTTCATGAAGAAGATAATTGTTTTTGTATTGTGTTCACTGCTGTATTCTTAGATCCTAGAATACCTAACATTTACTTGGTAGGTATTCTATACATATTCATGGAATGAAGAAATAAGTATTATATATGCTAAAATATGTTTTCTCCTATTATTGTAATCTTTGGAAACCGAGACTCTAAACTGTGGAAATATCATCAACCCAGAACAGATCAAGCCCCAGACATCCTGGCAAATGGTCTTCTACTACATTCACACCAAGTCTTTCACTTGGTCCTCATGTCACCACTCATTCGTATGTTCAGTTGGTTAGTCATTAAACATCTCAGTCTCCTGGTCTAATAACTACAAAACAGTAGATGTATCCATCTTTTAACAACTCTTGGTGTCCAACTAAGTAGAAAATATAAAGTGGCTTAATGTTTATTTCTTGGATTGTTATATATGTAAGATATTTTTGAGAAATATGAAAGTAAGGATTTCAATTAGATCTAGTTAGTCTGTCCCATACTTCTAGGAAATTTTCAATACCATAAAAATTCTCACACTTATCTTATGAATGGTCCAAATTACAAGTGTTCGCTTATTACTGTTTGTCACTATGCATGCGACAAAAGTATGGCTTTTACCAGAATGGCCTTATAAACAATGACTAACCAGACAAAATCAAAATTTGGGAGCCAATCTGATACAACAGTCCTATAAAGATAAAATCTAGTTGAGGAAGGCAACTCAGATTAAAAGCTTCTTTAACCAACAGGAAAATCATTTAATCCCTGTCTCAAATTAAAAATTAAAAATATGATGAACAGTGCTTGAACTAACTTTTATAGACCTTTTGAACATTCGTCTGCCTCAAGATAATGGGTCCACAATACAGTGGTGAAAGTTCTTTGAAAACAAAAGTGACTATAAAAAAACTTTCAAAAAGTAAAAACACAGTGAAACTTCTTAATATTTTCCAAGGAATAACACTTTTAAAACATTTGTCCAAAACAACAAAACAGGAAATGTGTTTTGTGGACCCTAGAAAGAACTTTTAAAACAATACTATTTGAAAATAGGGTCAACAGAGAAAACACCATAATAAAGCTAACTGTCTTTTACTTTTAAAAATTGGGTAAAACCCCATTATACTTACTTTGTAAATAGTGCAAAACCATCAATACAAGACTATAGCTGCTTAAAGTACCACGACTGGCATCATTTATCTGATGGTGACTTGCCCACTTCTTAATCACCAGCACTAACGGACGAACTCGATTTTCAACTGAAAGTAAAATTAAAACTTAACATGGTAAGAGACATTATAGTTTCTTTGAAAGTTTACATTATTTCCCAGATCCATGTCAAAATAAAGAGCACTGTCTCTGTGTATATTAAACACTGTGTCTGTTCACCACAAATGTGTCTTATGTCTAAAACTCACCTTAGTTACCTTTTAAAAATTACCAATTATTAAAATGCCACTTGATTCACCTATAACTGATAGTATATGATTTTAGTGTAGCAACATATACAAATAAAATAAGATATACTTAAACACAACTAAAGGGATGTCACTATTTATGACAAACATCTTTAAAAATGAATAAAGAAAAAAGAAGCTAATTTTTTATAAACAAACCACAAACTTACGGTATGCATAAGTTCTGAGAAGGAATGTGTTTCTTATTCCAACAACATTGTTTACATTCAGGTCAAACTCCACACAACTATTTAAGAAAAAAAAAACAATAAACTTTAGCTGAAGAACAAGAACACTTCCTTCCTAATAACTAAACTAATGCTCATCCATCCCATGATGCAAAATAGCATGGGCCCAAAGGCCACAGACCTGTGTTTTTAACATGACACACTAAAGAAATAAGAATGAACAAATACTCAGTATGTTATTTTGATGTGATTTGGTGAGTACTGAAAATATAAAATAAGACTAGAAATAAGAATGAACAAATAGTATGTTATTTTGATGTGATTTGGTGAGTACTGAAAATATAAAATAAGACTAGTGGAAAAATCAGTAACATACTGCTAAGGCTCCAATTACCGCAAAGAAAAATATTTTTTTTTTTTCTTTACAGAGATGGACTCTCGCTCTGTGGCCCAGGCTGGAGTGCAGTAGCATAATCACAGCTTACTCCAGCCTCAAGCTCCTGGGCTCAAGCAGTCCCCCCACCTCAGCCTCCCAAATCCCCAGTATTATAGGTAGGAGCCACCATATCCAGCTGAAAATGTTTAAATCTCACAATCGTTTCCAGATAAACACAACTATGTGACCAAAAACATTTCTGAGCAAGCTATCCCATTAAGTTATACATTCTCAAATGATCTGGAATTATAGCATCATATACTTTAAAACAACAGGAATAAAAAGCCAAATAAAATGCAGGGGAAAAAAATTTAAAAGCTCTGTCTACACATTATATTTCCTCTAAAATGGCTAGTAAATTACAGTATCATGTCATATTTGGCTACTGATACCTGGAAAGAGCTATCTATAATACTCAAACACATAATGATTATTTATTTGGAAGCAAATATATGCAGTTCACAATTTTAAAAACAGGGCAATAGCCGGACGCGGTGGCTCACGCCTATAATCCCAGCACTTTGGGAGGCCGAGGCGGGCGGACCACAAGGTCAGGAGATCGAGACCATCCTGGCTAACACGGTGAAACCCCGTCTCTACTAAAAATACAAAAAATTAGCCAGGCGTGGTAGTGCGCGCCTGTAGTCCCAGCTACTTGGAGGCTGAGGCAGCAGAATTGCGTGAATCCGGGAGGTGGAGCTTGCAGTGAGCCGAGATTGCACCACTGCACTCCAGCCGGGGCAACAAAGCGAGACTCCGTCTCAAAAAAAAACAAAAAAAAGAAAATAGGGAAATAATGACGCAATCTACAAAAAACGGCTAAACTCATACAAAAACGAAGGATTACTTTCTGTAAGTCAGTTCTACTTATACCCATGTGAGATCCCAACTTATAAATACTAAATTTTTCTGTGAAAAGACTGTCTAAAATAAAAATGAAATCTTTCTATATTAATTACAGCTTTTAAGTATAAAATTTGAAATCTACCATTTCAGTCTTTCTTATTTGGGGGAACAAAAGAAATCTTACAATCTTTCCATTACCCAGGCATATTAATAAAAATGAATAGTAGTATTAACACTTCAGATACTATACATTATTTGGCTTTGGGAAACTTACAGTAACAATAGAGTCATTCTTTGCGTTTGTGTAAGTCTAACACTGAAGCCAATTTGTACTACATCCATATAGTAACTCAATAGAAAAGAAAAACACATAAATGGCAACTAGTCTGCAGTTAAAAATTTTTCCAAAATTGAATTCAGGGCTTTAAAAATATCCATAGTCCCTGCTTCAATACTACTTCTAGAAATACTAAAAAAGTGATCCTCAATATGGAAAGAATTTATGCACAAAATGCTTATTTATGTTATCTAAAAACTAGAAACACACCAAATGTTCAAACACAGGGGAATGGTTAAGTTAATGACAACTTATTCACTCAATGAAAAAATATAAAGCCATTAAAAATGAGCTGTAGAACAATACTTAATGATATAACCAAATATTCATGAGATATGGTTCTGTTGGGAAATAGGATTTGGCCAGGTACAGCAGCACACTCCTCTAATTCCAGAACTTTGGGAGGCTAAGGTAGGAGGATTGCTTGAGGCCAGGGGTTCAAAACTAGCCTGGGCAACATGGCAAGACCCTGTCTCTACCAAAAATACAAAAATTAACCTAGTGTGCTGGTGTGTGCCTGTAGTCCTACCTACTCAGGAGGCTGAAATGGGAGGATCACTTGAGTCCAGGCATTTGAGGTTACAGTGAGCTATGATCATGCCACTGTACTCCAGCCTGGGCAACACAGTAAAACTCTCTCTCTTAAAAAAAAAAAAAATGCTTAAGAACAAAAAAGTTTGCATGATAATCTTAAAACAGAAAAAGAATAAAACTATTTTTGTAACTATAACTACAACCATATATTATTAAAAACTTATAATTAGATAATATAATAACTTTATGTTTTATCTCCCTATATATTTCATATCTGCTTTAGGAAAATCTGACAAAATTTACTTGGCAGAAATTTAATAAGTATTTATAGATCTGACTGATGTTTAGATATATAAAGGAATGGCTTGAGCCAGGCATTAAAGTTTGTTTAAAATATATATATTCAGTCAATTTTCATCATTCATAGTAGCCACATTCTATAAAGTTGCTGCAAACACTGAATTAGTAAATACTATATATCATTGCTCCTAGGGTAAGCACAGGGTTAGGTTTCTGCCAGCCTGGTCACATTTTCATAAACTCATCAATATGTAACCAAGTTTTATGTTGTGCTTCTGTTTGAAGACATTGTATTTAATATATATGGTTGATTCACTAACAGTGGACTCATGGCCAAGAGTACTGTAACTCAAGCCTGAGCAAAGCCTACCTAACACATATTTTCTCCATAGGGCACCATCACAGCCTTTCTGCACTTGGGGACACTAGAAAGTAACTCCACACTATGCTTGGGGGCCATTCTAAAAAGCAAAAAAGCACAAATATGTGAAAAATATGGCATTAATTAGACTATGAGGAGGTTATCTGTTTACAGTACGAAGCTGAACAAGAAGACAGTATGTCACCTAATTCTATCTCAGCTGGAAACATGGTAGTGGGTGATTTGAAATTTTCACCACTCTCTGTATGCCCACGAAATGACTGCTAAAGCATATGAATATTCATGTGGGGAGTTACAAATAACTTTTAGCAAGTAGGCAAATTCGTGAAAACACAATCTATGAAAGATAAGGATCAATAATGTGTGTGGGGGGGCATAATTTCAGTATTAATTTTATAAAACTGGACCAATTTTATGAAATCTGTCACAATTCTATTTTTAGAAAACAGTAACAAATCAGTTTAATGAAATAATCAACATCTATTTACATTTTGCATTCAGATATTTTATAAAAGATCCCAATTCTAATGCCCATAAGAAATTCAGAACCCAAGCTGGTAGAACATATAAATATAAATTTTGAAATGGAACAAGTATATTTTGCTGTTGTTCGTTCATTATCTATTCTCTAGGTATTATATGTATCTTTCATTAAAATGAAACATAACTTGTTTAATCATAATTGTATTTACAACAAATCCCTTGATATTAGTATGTCAAATTTCATTAATTATGTTCTTCAGAACGCATTACTTCCAAAAGGCAAGAGATCATTTAAAAATCTAAAATACAAATATGTACATACTCTTTAAATTGGATAGTCTCACATATTCAAAATGTCAAGCAGAATAGCTAAGTATAGTTAAGCATAAAGTGTCGCTCAATTTTAAAAAACCATTTCAAACACCAAGTCAAATGATTTCTAAAAACTGACGAAAATAAACTGTAGTGCTACAACATACAATTCTTAATTATCTTTATCAGATGAGTATCTAAAAATGATCTAAAGGAACTGAAAAAAGAAAGCTCATTAATTACTTACCTGACTTTATCCCTGAACTTCACAATTGGCACTTTTGCTCGAATCAGCTGAGGTCTCTCAATGTAGCCCGCTGAAAGACAAAAGATAATGTGAATATCGGCAAATGTTTCTAGAATTCAGAGTGTTCCAATGCACATTTTTTAAAAAATAGTATTTACTAAGCTAAAATAATTTAAGAAAACGTCTGTGAAAAAGAATACAAGCAAGGACATTATCAAATTCTTCTAAGGTTGGAGGCTCCAGTAATACCATTTAGGGGGCTTTATATTAAGGTTATTTTCAGGAATGTGGTCTAATATAGTATCTATAGAGAAGTTCATCAGATCACTGTAAGAGTGAAAATATATCTAAGCTAGCAGCAGAGGGAATAGCTAATTTTGGTACAGCACAGAGTAAGGTATCATGGTAACTATAGAAATCATATTTACAGAGTCTTATGTGTGGAAATGCTTTGCAACATGATACATGGGGCTTGGATGCATTCAGTAAGTGTGATCTCTATGAGTGAAAAATACATATATTTATTATACACATGATCTCTACAAGTGAAAAATTCAGAACAGCTTAGTGAACACCAATTATTGTGCTATTATACACAGGAGTATCAGTTGATAGGAAATTCAAATATATACACATATGTATTACATATATACACATATCATATACAACATATAATAAAATGTATATACATATTTTTATTCCATCAAACTAAAAAATTATTGAGTTGAAAGTAATATATGCTTATCATAGAAAATTAGGAAAATACAGAAGTGTATAAAAATGCAATTCTGAAAATCTTTCCCAAATGAGCAATTTTCTAATTTTTTAACTACAGAAAAAGTAGTACCAGGATTTTTTGAAACCCGAAAATTTTCTGTTATAATGTTTTACCATCAAAATTACAGAATCTATATCAGCTGGGCTTGGTGGTTCATGCCTGTAATCCTAGCACTTTGGGAGGTCAAAGTGTATGTATCACTTGAGACCAGGAGTTTGAGACCAGCCTGGCCAACATGGCAAAACCCCGTCTCTACTAAAAATACAAAAATTAGCCAGTTGAGGTGGCACACACCTGTAATCCCAGTTAATAGGGAGGCTGAGGCATGAGAATCGCTTAAACCAGGGAGGGGGAGGTTGCAGTGACCTGCGATCGTGCTACTGCACTCCAGCTTGGTGAGAGAGCGAGACTCTATCTCAAAAAAAAAGACTATATCAAGCTTCAAAATAGAATTTATGTGCAGGAATTCAGAAAAATAAAATTAGGAGTTAAAAGTTTTGAGTAATAAGTACAGGTTCTGAGACCAACGAACTATAGTCCAAGCAAGTTACTAAATCCATTGATCACCAGTTTCCTTAACTATTAAAAATAACCAAAAGAAAAAAAAAATTCATGTGAATTACATGATCTTTAAGGTACCTTCCATTTTTAATATTTTGATTCAAATAGCTATTAAAAATCCACTTAGGTATGAATTATTCTTTATTTTACAGAATAATTCAGAATGCAGAAGCCTAGGTCCAAAGAAAGAAATCACTTCATTTATTTCTCTTCTACAGTAGATGTAAGTTATTCAAAGACAGTGACTTGTTACTTGACTTGTACATTCCAGCTCAAAGTCTGGCATATAATGAATGTCTGTTCAACAAATGAACAAGTGTCTTTCCAATATCACACAGGATAACTTCAACTTTCTATAAAATTCTATATAAAAAGAAATTATTTGAGATGGCTTAACGTGGATTAAAATCTGTTTAGAGTCAGTGTATTCAAAAAGTAAAATCGTAAAATAAAATGGCTTAAGTCAACAATTTGCTTTCTGTTGAAGTCATACATTTAGGTCTCAAGTTCAGTGATCTTATTTGTAAAACAAGTAAAGATGCATATCATTGCAAGCCAGATGAAATTCTCACACACATAAAGCCTACAGGACTTCATGTGTATCAACACGTTTAGCTTTTCACAGATACTCTGTTATTACAACTATTTATATTCATGCTTTAATTTCCCTAACAATCTATAAACTTTTGAGAAAAAGAACTAAAACTTACATGTCTTTGAATCCCCCCCACTGCAGCAGGTGGTATATTTTGCAGTAACGCTGAATAAATGATCACTCTTCTTTTTAATCAAAAGTTAAAAGAAATTCATTTGGAAAAAAGGATCCATATTATACCTATCCTGACCAGAATAAATAATTCTTACCAGAAGATAATGTAAGAGGCATTTTAAATAAAGTTATGTCAGGTGACAAACTTGAGGCATGTCAGACTTACAAAGTCTAGTACAGAAGTGTTTATGGACTAAGGTGAGTATATGCCGTGCTTCAGTCTTCTGATTTACCTGAAAAAAACACTGAAAAGTTAAAAATAAAGTGTTTTTTCATTATCTTTCTCAGCTTAATGTTTCATTTTCCTAACGTATCTCAACAAAAACAAAACATACAAGATACACTTTCCTTTGGAGTTATTTTTCAATATACCCAAGGAAATTTATTTTTCTAAATTATAGAAAAAATCAACCTTTAATGCTATCTTTCACATCTACATTTCTAAATCAATACCTGATTTTAAGCTTAAAAGCACAATTTTCAAAGAAATTCTGAAACAGCCATTTATGTCATTTTTCCCTTCAGTATAACACTGTACAAAAAGCAACCTCCAACAAAAATAAACAGAAATTTAGCCTTATCTAGATCTTAAGTTGCTCAAGGATAGTTTCATATCTATGGTGCCTCAGTTTGTGTAAAAGCTATGACAACATGATTTAGACATGTGAATAAGACTAGAGGATGAGTGGGATGTGCTTGAGTATAATCTAGCAGCACAAAAAAGTTTTAATTACAACCCTTGTATTCTCCACTGTTAATTATGTGAGGCTTTTTTAAACTTTCCCTTTATATGATTTCAAAGCCTAGAAAAATATCATTCTTCCTAGAATAAATCTCTTTCTGATTTGCAGTAACTAGAAGTCATTTTTACTAGTGGAATAATATGAACAGTAAAATTATACATTAACATTCAATAATTTTTTGTAAAGATGTAAAACATAATAAGGCATATTAAAATTACACTGAGCTTAATTTAATCACTGGTAATTCAGAAGAAACCTCAGCATCTTAAAGAGGCTGCCTCAAGTCAGCTTAACGAACACCAATTACTGCAGTAATAAACATAGGAGTACCAGTTAACTGGAAATTCAGGTAAACATACTACAGGTTGAACATCCCTAATCCAAAAACCTGAAATCCGAAATCTGAAACTTTTTGAGTGCTGACATGATACTCAAAGGAAATGTTCATTGGAGCATTTCAGATCTGGATCAGGGATGTTCAAATGTTAAGTATAGTGCAAGTATTCCAAAAAATAAATAAATAAATCTCAAATCCAAAAAACTCTGGTCCCAAGCATTTTAGATAAGAAATACTCAACCTGTACTAAATAACACAGTATTGTTGCTAAAGAAAAAGGAAAAAAAAAAAAAACAAAGGCAAAATGTCAGAGAAAAATATTTTAAATTTAATAAACATGATAGTCTTATTTTAAATTTCAGTGAAATCTATTTTCCCTTAAGCATTTTCAAGGAGAAAAAAGTAAAGATTAAAAATAGAATCACTGAGAATTCAAATGCAAAGGAAATATATCAAGAAGATAATATTGCCACATGCTCTTCTTTGCTGCATCCTGATAACATATCCAAACTAATGACATTTCGAAACAGAGGCAGAGTTCTTGAAAAAAAACACAACACATAGTGAAGCCATCTCACTTTAAAAACTTAGAATTAAATTAATGCTATACTTCCTATTACGCTTATTGTGCACATGCCTTAAAAATAAAAAATTTCCTAGGTTTCCCGCAATTATGGTAAACAAAATTCAAAGAAGTAATCACAACAAAGCAAATTTTTTTTCCTCAATGACTTTTACGTAAAATTTCTTAACCCATTAACACGAGAAACACACTTGGAATAAATGTTTCCTTACTTACTGGTTCTTCCTTAACAACTAGGCATAAATCACCATCACTGCTCCGGGTTCCAAATCCATTTAAAGAGGACCCAACCAAAAAAAGTCTGCTTTCTAAAGAAACAGAAGAAAGTAGTAAGAGTACTTAAAATCTAAACAAGGTGCACTGCTTCTGTGCCTACTAAAAAAAAAAAAAAGATAAAATTTAAAATAGGAAAGCATATACCTAAAGGGCATGCAAAATAGGGAAACATACGTGGAAATAACAGCTGAATTTCTCTCTGCAGCTGTGTTCGACAGAGTTCTTTCTTCTTTAAATCACTTATTTGCTGCTGACATGTTTCAAATAACTCCAGTATCTGCTGACTCAACTTGAATCCACCGCAAAAAAAAGTAAAAGTTTTGTTCAGCAATGTAAAAGTAATTGCCATATGGAGAAGTATAAATCAATTATATTGACACTATTTTAAAAGGGAATATATATTATCTTCTTAATAGTTTCCAAAACAAAGCTACTATTACTCAAGTACAGGAGGAGAATGGTCTGAAAAACTATATATAAATTTTACAAAGTAAAATTTACAACTCACAGAAAACTACAGACACAGATACTTCATAATAAAAATAATCCATGGGTCAGCAAACTGTTTAACACTTGCTCACTGTATTTGTATGGTCCCTGAGCAAAGAATTTTTTTACATTTTTAAAGGATTATGAAAACAAATAAGAATATGCAACAGAAACAATATGTGAGTGGCAAAGCCTAAAGTATTTACTATTTGGCTCTTTAAAGAAGTTTGCCCAATCCCTAGTATTCACACCCACAAATACCAAATATAAGAGATGTCACCAGTCCCTGGTCTTCTGGGCTCATGCAAACCACCCCCTGTCCCATTCTTGTAATAATGCCCTGAACCCTAACTTCATGTTGCCATGTACTTACCACCTTTTTTTTTTTTTTTTTTTTTGAGACGGAATTTTTTTTGTCCCCCAGCCTGGAATGCAGTGGTGCGATCTCGGCTAACCACAACCTCAGCTTCCTGGGTTCACCTGATTCTCCTACCTCGGCCTCCCAAGTAGCTGCGAATACAGGCATCTGCCACCACACTCAGCTAATTTTTCGATTTTTGTAGAGACAGGGTTTTGCCATGTTGGCCAGGCTGCTCTCGAACTCCTGACCTTAAGTGATCCACCTGCCTCAGCCTCCCAAAGTGCTGGTATTACAGGTGTGAGCCATCACACCTGACCCTACCACCCTTTTATCTACTGATCTGGTTCACACTTTTCCCTCTAGCCCAACTCTTGCCATCAACATAGGTGATTTCCCTATCTGAAATGGGCTATATATCACGACATACTCCATCTCTGGACTTTTATTTCCTCCAGTATTCTTCATCAGTATACACTCCTATAATGTGGTCTTTACAATAAACTGGAACTGCTCTAGCTCTGAAATTTTAAATTCCAATATACTATCTTGGCTTCAATCTCCTATCCAATTCACACTTTCTCACTCTCCTCATACCTGCTCTAGAACCACAAGAGATCTAGATTCCTTTGAATCCTCCCTTTTCTGCCAAGCTATCAGTACCTAAATGGTGTTATTTCTTTTCCTATGCAGTCTACACCACATAGTGCATCCCGTGAACCACTCTCTTATCATGCCTTAACAACATTATCTACCTTGTCATGTTCTAATACTTGTCCTACAAAACCCTAATCTTAGGTCAATATTAAAAAAAAAAAAAAAAAAACCACCTTCTCTGCTCTTACATCTAAGTTGCTAACAGACAAAACTGAAAAAAAAAAATTAAAATTATAAAATTGGAGTATTTCAAGTTTAGTCTTAGGTTGGCCCTTAGCATCACTTAGCAATTTCTTCCAAGTCTTTGGTTAGATATTGCTTCTGTTTTTCATTATACCATTCCAAAACGTTTACTATCTTCTTCAAGCCCTCTAAACTTATCTCCCTTTCTCTAGCAGATACAGTTAAAGTTTACTACGAAAATTGAGAATACCAAATGCGATATTCCTCAGCCTCTTAACCACAGACCTAAAAACAAACATATCTGGGGGGGGGGGCAAAAAAAAAGGCACCCTTTTCCCCATTCAAAGCTAATCTCTCTACCAATAATTTTGTATTCAAGCCTTCTGGTCACCTTAAGGGCACCAACACCTCTACCAGTTTTTCAGTCCTGCTCTTGTATTTTCAATCTCTCCCTCTCTAGGACTGCCTTATAGTCCATAATGAGGCAAAAATATCACCCATCATGAAAACTGTTGTCTTTCACATATTTAGGATCCTCACTTTAAGAAGGCAGAGGCATTCTAGGCAATTTGGCAATGAAAGAAGCATAACTTTTTTTAAAATCTCTGAATACCCACCCCACAAAAGACAGAGCAACTAGGAGAATAAATCAGAGAGATCAAACCAAACCAAAATGTGGCCAAAAAATAAAACACAATTGACTGACCAAGTATTCATCATGAACACTCAGGAGTGCGACAAATACCAACAGCAGCAAGATTCACACGGTATCAGACACAGTAAAAGAAAAGGGAATGGGATTTGAAACAGTCTTAAAAACAGAACATGCAGAAATCAAATTGCTTATAGGTAATACCTTCTCCTCCTCACTCACCAAACTAAGCAACCCACATCAATGTACCACAACCAAAATAGGCAAGCAGTTTCATAGGCTACAATTCATAGGTAAATGCAAGGGGACCACAGAAAGATCAGAGACCTCCAAACAAAATGAGGTTCCCTTCCAAGAAAAAGCAACAGCAGAAACTACCAGGAAGAGAAACTTAAACTGGACAGTACAGAGCCATCAGGAGAAAAGGAAAGGTGTAAAATGATTCTGACTCTCAGTGGACATACGAATATGAAAACATTTTTGGTTATCATAACAGGACCAGGCAGGGCAGAGGGAAGGTCCCTGGCATTTAGTAGGTAGAGGCCAGGATGTCACTGAACATCCTACAATACAGAGGACAACTCTACCACAGCAAAGATTATCTGGCCCAAAATGCCAATAGTACAGAGGGTAAAAAATTCCGCTCTAGATAAAAGTAGGAAAGGAAAAAAGCAAAGGCACTCAGGAAGTATATTTCTGAATACTACACAAGAACAGAAGAGGGCTGGGCGTGGTGGCTCACACCTGTAATCCCAGCACTTTGGGAGGCCGAGGCAGGCGGATCACAAGGTCAAGAGATGGAGACCATCCTGGCCAACACGGTGAAACAGCATCTCTACTAAAAATACAAAAAAATTAGCCAGGAGTGGTGGCACATGCCTGTAGTCCCAGCTACCCGGGAGGCTGAGGCAAGAGAATCACTTGAACCCAGACGGCAGAACTTGCAGTGAGCTGAGATCACACCACTGCACTCTAGCCTGGATGACAAGAGTGAGACTCCGTCACAAAAAAAAAAAAAAAACAGAAGAGGAGAAGTCCTAGAACCACAAAGCTAGCCTGCTCAACCCTCTCCACATAAAAGTAGCACACTGCTGGGCATGGCGGCTGAGCACGCCAATAATCCTAGCACTTTGGGAGGCCGAGGCAGGCGCATCGCTTAAGCTCAGGAATCCGAGACAAGTCTTGGCAACATGGCAAAACCTCATTTCTACAACAAATTTAAAAATTAGCTGGGCATGGTGGTGCGTCCCTGTAGTCTCAGCTACTAGGGAGGCTGAAGCAGGAGGATTGCTTGAGCCTGGGAGGTCGAGGTCGCAGTGAGCCATGATCACACCACTGTATTCCAGCCTAGACAACAGAGGAAGACCTTGTCTCAAAAACACTGAAATAAAATAAAATGAAAGTAGTACAGAAAAAGCCATCTCAAAGACAAATAACAGAAAGAACTGGAATCTCGAAAGAGGTAAGAATGGGAGAGGAGAGAAGAAAAAATTGAAGAAATTACGCCTGAAAGTATTCTAATCAACTTCCATACAAAGTATTTGTAAGAAAAATGAGAATACATCGAGCAACTTTTTGTTTTTTGATACATGGTCTCACCGTGTTGCCCAGACTAGAGAGCAATGGCGCAATCAGAGCTCACTGCTGTCTTGACCTCCTGTCAAGCAATCCTCCCATCTCAGCCCCGCAAGTAGCTGGGACTAAAGGTGTGCAGTACCACATCTGGTTAATTTTTTTTTCTTGAGAGACAGGTTCTCAGTATTTTGCCCAGGCTGTAGAGTAACATTTCTACAGACAATAAAGCACACCAGAAGAATGTGTAAACAAAACTAATACGTTTAACATAATATAAAAAACCAAGGCCTTTTCTCTCATTTTAATTTTCTAAACAGATAATTCACTACTTAAAGCATATATACTATCAACAAACAATTAAAAATTTACTTTTTAAAAACGTCACAATAGCAGCAAAAAGCATGAAATATTTAGAAATCTATGTACCAAGAGATGTGCAGAATTTGTATACTGAAAACTAGAAAATATTGAGAGAACCTAAAGACCTAAATAAAGGGAGAGATAAACCACATTCACGGATCAAAAGACTATTGTTAAGGATGTCAATTCTCCCAGAATTGACCTTTAGATTCAATGTAATCAAACTCAAAAGCCCATTTGATATAATTTGTTTCACAACAAATGAAAAAGAAATCGAAAGCCCAGAAGGCTTCTTTCTAGAAACTGACAAAAGAATTTTAAATTTGACTTAGAAAGGCAAAAGTCCAAGAATAACTGAGAAAAAAATTGGAGAATTTAACCCATCTGACTTCTATACTTAATATAATGCTACAGTAATCAAGACAGTATGGCCCTGACGGAAGGATAAACAAAAAAGATCAACTGAATATTAGAATACTGAAATATTTACAAATAAAATAACTCAAATCCGATTCAAACTAATGAGGGAGGGAGGTAAAGGTAAAATAAGATTAGTCATATGTTGTTAATTGTTATGGTCATATGTTGGCAGTTGTTAAAATGGACAACATGAGGACTTGATACGTTTTTCTCTCTACTTTAGTATATGGTTTGATATTTTCCATAATAAAAAGCTAAAAAGAAAAGTGTCCAAGTTTGTAACAAATGTGAAAAAGATCTCCAGTAAAAGTGGCTAACATAAAATTTTAAATGATACTTGAAGGATTTTTACTGACCTAGAGCAAGGATTGGCAAACTATTTAGGCCAAGTATGGGCAGCAAGCTAAATAATTTCTACTTTTAGGCATTGTTAAAAAGAAAAGAAAAAAGGATATGCAACAGAGGACTTACGTAGCCCACATGCCTAAATATTTACTATCTGGCCCTTCTGCCAACCTATAATCTAGAGAATCAGGCAGATTGGATCAACAAAATCCTAGAATTCACAGTAGGTACTCAGTCTTCGTTGAATAGC